AATGAGGAGGAACAGGAACAGGAGGGAGCCCTCTGACACCTCATGGAGAACGAGGAGGAGGTCCTGGAGGGAGGGAAAGAAGATGAGGTTGGAGCAAGGAGGATGAGGTTGGAGCAAGGAGGAAGAGGAGGAGGAGGAGAAGGAGGAGCAGTGTACACCCAAGACTCACCAATGATGTTGGAAGAAACTCGCCCTCCAAGCTCTCTCTTCACGGGTCCCTAAGAGGGCTCATTTTCACGCAGGGAGTTGCCGCGTTGGGAGACCCGCTCGAAGACCCTGAAGCATGCCAACTCACAATTCTCGGGACTTCAACGCCACGGATCAGGAAGAGGAGCAGGAAAAGGGGAGAAGGAGGAGGAGGAGGAGAACCAGTGTGAACCCAATATTCATCGACAATGTTTGAATCAATCTTCCCCCCAAGCTCCGTTTTCATAGGCCCCTACCAAAAATCATTTCCTCTGAAGGAAATGCCCCGTTGGGAGACAACCATTTGACTTCAAAGCAGCTCATGAACCTGACTGTTGCGTCTTGACGATCCTAAACCGTGCCAGAACACCATCCTCGAGACTTCGCACCGCGAATCGCTGTAACCGTTGCACCCATCATAGTCCTGAGTCCTTCCAGCACTCCATTTCTGGTACGCTGACAATGGGAATCCGTGGAACTCTTGCGAATGTTTAGACGACATGTGCTCGGCGCTAAGGCGAGAACCACATTTTGAAAACCAACCGCCGTCAATTTTGCGAATCTCTTGCATTTTTTCAAAAATTGTGCGCGGCGCGAAGGCGAGAACCACATTTCGAAAACCAGCCGGCCTCAATCAGTGGAACCTTTCTATGCAATTGTTCAACACGAATGTGCACGCCGTTAAGGCGATAACCACATTTTGAAAACCAACCGCCCTCCATCCGTGGTGCTCGTACATCATTTCAAGGAATGCTCGCGGCGCTGAGACGAGAACTGCATTTGAAAGCCAGCAGCCCTCAATCCGTGAAACTTGTATGCGACTGCTCAACACGAGTGTGCACGGCGCTAAGGCGAGAACTGCATTTTGAAAATCAACCGCCATCAGTCCGTGAAGTTCTTACAGTTTTTCCAAGGAATGTGCGCAGCGCTGAAGGCGAGAGCCACATTTCGGGAACCACCCGCCCTCCATCTGAGAAACTGCAGCTATTGTGTAAACTTCAGGGTCACAAGTGGTGAGTAAGTCTCAGGCGAAACGACGGGCCCGCTCTTTCGACGGGCCTCGGGGTGCGACAGGGAGGAGTTAGTTTTGAGGAACAATGGGATAATGATGATGATGATGATGATGATGATGATGATGATGATGATGATGATGATGATGATGATGATGATGATGATGATAATGACGACGATGATGATGATGATGATGATGATGATGATGATGATGATGATGATGATGATGATGATGATGATGATGATGATGATGATGATGATGATGATGATGATGATGATGATGATGATGCTGATGCTGATGCTGATGCTGATGCTGATGCTGATGCTGATGCTGATGCTGATGATGATGGTGGTGGTGGTGGTGGTGGTGATGATGATGATGATGATGATGATGATGAGGAGGAGGAGGAGGAGGAGGAGGAGGAGGAGGTGCAGGAGGCGGAGGAGGCGGAGGAGGAGGAGGCGGAGGAGGAGGAGGAGGAGACGAGGGGGGGGAGGAGTAGAGGGAAACAGAAGGACGAGGAGGAGGAAGGGGGACCGAAGGAGGGAGGGAGGGAGCAGGAGGGAGGGAGGAGGAGCAGGAGGGAGCCATCCGACATCTCGGGCCCTCGGCCGACGCGGCCTGCCCGAGGGAAGCAGCGCGGGGGCGGCGCCGCTTCGAGCTGCCCGGTGCGCTGAGCGGTCCGCCCCTCGGACGCATCCTTCGCGTGCCTTGGCGTGCCCCGGCGGCCTTTGCCTCGCGCTGCCTCCGCGTGGGCCCTCGGGGGTCCTTGCGCGGGCGAGGCTTCCGGCCGGCTCCTCGGGCGGCATGCGCGCGCGTGGCGAGCGCCGGTGCCTCGGGACCGAGCCGCAATCGAGGAGAGGGAGGAGGAGGCGGAGGAGGAGAAAAGGTAGGGCGATGGCGACGGCGACGACGACGGCTCCTACGATCGACGGAACGACGGCGTTGACGTCGACGACGACGACGACGGCGACGACGGCGACGGCGATGGCGACGGCGTTGACGACGGCGTTGACGACGACGACGGCGACGACGACGGTGTTAACATCGATGACGACGACGACGACGACGACGCTGACGACGACGACGGTGGCGCTGACGACGACGTCGCTGAGGACGACGACGACGCAGACGACGACGACGACAGTGACGCGACGACGACGACGACGACGACGGCGTTGACGACGGCGTTGACGACGTCGACGGCGACGACGACGGTGGTGACATCGACGACAACGACGACGGCGGCGCTGACGACGACGACGACGACGCTGACGACGACGACACAGACGACGACGACGACGACGACGACGGCGAAGACGACGACGACAGTGACGACGGCGACGACGGCGACGACGGCGACGACGGCGGCGACGTCGGCGACGTCGGCGGCGACGACGACGACAACGACGACTGGGACGACGGCGAAGACGACGACGACGACGACGGCGACGACGACGGCGGCGGCGACGACGGCGAAGACGACGAAGACGGTGACGGCGACGGCGACGGCGACGAAGACTGTCACGGTGACGGCGACGGCGACGGCGACGACGACGGCGGCGACGACGACGAGGGAGCAGCAGCCGAATCGCAGGAGGTAGCTGCTGAGGTGCGCCACGATCACAGCCGCGGCAGGATGCTGATGACTTCGCTCTGCACTCTGGAGGTGTTGCTAGTCGCTGTTGGCCTCGTCTGGCCCTCGGTCCACCCCTGTCCAAGCATTCGCTTGCTGAGCGACGGAAGACCGGGGGCGGCTCAGCGACGGACGTGGTCGCGGGGATAGCGAGAAGGGAAGGGGGGGAATATGGGAGGCAGGGCTGTACCTAAACGCTGTTTTGGCCATCTCGTGGGCCGCTTTGCTTCTCGTTTGTTTTGCTCTGCATTCCAGGCGAAGCGAGGGCAAAACGAGGAAGAACGAATAGCGGAACGAAAACGCAGAACGCCGCCCATATCCAGCCTCGTCGCCCTGCAGCCAGGGCGAACTGAAGATGACAAAACGAGGGAGCACGAACACATGACGAACGCGAGACACACCTCCTCCTCCTCCTCCTCCTCCTCCTCCTGCCTCCACTGTCCTCCTCCTCCTCCTCCTCCTCCTCCTCCTCCTGCCTCCACTGTCCTCCTGCCCATCTGGGAGGGCAGTGTTTGGGCCGAGCCCTGCCCCGGGGACCTTCCTGGGGGCGCGCGGCGGCGGCGAGACGCTCACCTCCGCATGGCGCCGACCCGCGCGCCGGCTGCCGCCGCTCTCTCCCGGGCTCGCCTCGCCCGGGTGCCGCCCTCCGGCTCGCGGCTCCTCCTCCCTCCTCCCTCCTCCTCCTCCTGTTCCTCCTCCTGCTCCTCCTCCTCCTCCTCCTTCCCCTTCTCCTTCTCCTCCTCCTCCTCCTCCTTCCCCTTCTCCTTCTCCTTCTCCTCCTCCTCCTCCTCCTCCGCCTCCTCCACCTCCTCCTCCTCCCTCCTCCTCCTCCTCCTCCTCCTCCCCCTCCTCCTCCTCCTCCCCCCTCCTCATCCTCCTCCTCCCCTCCTCATCATCATCCCTCCTCCTCCTCCTCCTCCTCCCTCCTCCTCCTCCTTCTCCTCCTCCTCCTGCTCCTCCTCCTGCTGCTCCTCCTCCTCCTCCTGCTCCTCCTCCTCCTCCTCCGCCTCCTCCTCCTCCTTCCTCCTCCTCCTCCTCCCTCCTCCTCCTCCTCCTCCTCCTCCTCCTCCTCCTCCTCCTCCTCCTCCTCCCCCCCGAACCCCAGGGTAAGGCTGGCCCACCGATGCAGCGACCAGGGGCTCAGCTTTAAGCGATACCCAGACTTGCTTCGCAACGGGGATCTCAATCTCAATCTCAATCTCCTCCTCGTCCCTCTCTTCTCTCCCCCGCCCCTCCTCGTCCCCACTCTTCCTGGCTCACCCCGCCCCCGCGCCGCTCTCGGGCTCTAGGTCGGTTCCGTCCTTCTACAGGTCCCTCCACAAAGATAGTCAACATAATAGTCTGGGGACGATTTTTCCTATTTTGGCAATGTTTGACTATTGTTTGTCGTTTTCTCATTGTTCTTCCAAAATCCGCCTGTAGGAGGACATGCCCGAGCTAACTCTGGCTCCTGCCTCCTCTTCCCAACCACCCCGCCCTTCGCTCTTCGTCTGCTCCAGCCTTCCCTCGCTCTTCGTCTGCACCCCCCCTTCCCAAGAGGAGAAACAACCACGAACACCAGCTAGGGGGTTTGGCCGCTCTCCCTCCATGAGCTGTTGGCACCCCGTTCCTGGCGCGCCCCCAGAGAGTGCCCGGAACGGAGTGCCCCCAGCTCGAGGGGATGGCCTTGGGGAACGGAGTTCTATAGAGTTTTGGTGGTAGTGGCTCTTTTTGCTTTCATGAACCTTCCTTCCCCTCCTGCCCCCCCCCTCGCGGAGGAGGAGGCGTGCTTACAGTAAACTCGCATAGTAAGGATGAGCAACCTTGCAAGGTTGCACTCGCATCTTTCCCCTTCGGCCCATCTCTGGCCGCTTTCGCTGGCAGCGCTCCGCTCGCAGAGAGTCGACTTGGCACATGGCCTTCCAGGGCCCTTGCATCCTTACTATAAGTGTTGATTATACGGGTTCACAGTGGGACCAGGCGGCGGCGCTTGCCTGCGTGTTTATCATGAGGGTGTGCAATTGTTTGCTCCCCTCCACCTCCTGCTCCTCCCCCGCCTCCTCCTCCGCCTCCTCTTCCTCCTCCTTTTCCACTTGCTCCTCCTCCTCCTCCGCCTCCTCCTCCTCGGTCCCCGTGGGGGGGGGAATCGTTTTCCCTCGGGCGGCCGCAGCGGCGGTGCCTGCTCAGGAGCTCGCCTTCCGCGGCCTCGTCAGTGCGGCAGCCGCCGGCGGCACCGCCAGGGGGTGGTGGTGGGCGTTCCGAGAGCGCCGAAATGAATTCGGGGGGCGATAGATAGTGGGGCATCGAGGGCTGCAGAGTGGGGCCCTCTAGGGCCCCTGCAGGGGCCTTTTGGGTCAGGGCACCTCTCTCTCCTCCCCCCCATGTGTCGCCAGCATGAATTCGCGCCCAAGTCGTCAGGGCTCAAGAGACGGGGGTCAATTCACACTGGGGTCCACCAGAGCGCTGGATTTTGCAAGATCCTGCAGGGCCAGGGGTGCCATGACCAGGGTCTACGTGCAGGATCTTACAGGATCCTGCAAGGCCCGACGGACCCGGGTTTTTGCATTGCGACCTGGGTCAGTAGATGCCCGAGGTCGTCGGCGGGCGCCAGGGTGTGGCGCCAGAGAGTCTGCACGAACGAAGCGAAACGGGGAACGGGAAGAATGGGGACAGAGACCGACCGAGAGTAAATGGGGCCGGAGGATCGCGCCACATCGACGATGCATCGCTGATGCAGCTCGATGTGGAACCCGATTTGCTTCACGTCGACGTCGCCGATGCATCGCTGGTGTCGACGATGCATCGTTGGTGCGTCGCCGATTCGTCGCCGACGTATCGGCCATGCGGCACGATCCTCCGACCCCATATACTCTGTCCCCATCTAGGAGTCCTCTAGACCAGGACTCGCTTTCTGTGCCGCTGCGGGCGTTGTCCATTGGAGACAGACGGCCGCCTGCCCAAGAGCGGCCGCCGCCGGTTTTCGACAAGATTTATTTGCGCTGGCGATACAAGGCATAAGCGGGGGGTCCGTTGGAGCGAATTGTGCCACCATGCAAGGGGAGGACTTGAAGTGATGTGGCTTAAGGGGCGCCTGAACCCCATGTGATATGGCCTGCGGCCATCTCCACCGCAGGGTTGACAGGGGGACCTGCGCCACAGCAGGCCACCCTAGGGGTGACAGGAAGAATTTTACGTCCCCAGAGCCAGACAATTTCTCGCTGGATCGAGGAAAGGCGCGTGTCAGACCTAAATTTCCAATGTAATGTGTTGTATTGCATTTGTGGTCGTTCGACTGAGCAGAAAGTGCGTTCCTACTCAGGGGCGCGGGGGGGTTGCAGAGCACGACGGGCAGAACGAGAGCCCGCCAGCGTCGGCGGTTGGGCAGGGGGTGACTGCGCTGGCGGTGCAAGGCATAAGCGGGGGATCCGTTGGAGCGAAATGTGCGATCATGCAGGATGAGGAGGGAGGAGAGGAGGGGGAGGAGGAGGAGGAGGAGGAGGACCACTGGAAACCCAAGAGTCACCAACGATGTTGGAATTAACCCTCCCTCCAAGCTCCCTCTCCATAAGCCCTTACAACGTTTCATGTCCATTGAGGGAACTGCCTCGTTGGAAGATAACAGTTTGAAAATCCTGAAGCCTCCCAAAACTTTGTTCCTGGGATTTCAACGCCACGTATCAGCCTGACTGCTGCGTCTTGACGATCCAGAATTGTGCCAGAACGCCGTTCTTGGGACTTCAACACAGCGAATCAACATAACTGTTGCGCCCGCATAACCCAGAATCCTTCCAAAATGCAGTTTCTGGTGCGCTGATCATGGATATCCGTGAAACTCCTTGCATTTTTAAACAAAACAACGAATGCGCGCGGCGCTAAGGCGAGAGCCACGTTTTGAAAAGGAACCACCCTCAATCCGTGAAATTATGACAAATGTGAACAACTTTGCGCGACGCAAAAGCGAGAGCCACATATTGAAGACGACCCGCCTTCAATCAGTGAAGTTCTTGCGTTTTTATGTATAAAAAAAGAATGTGCGCGGCAATCAAAGCTGAGAGCCACATTTTGAAAACCGGCGCTAAGGCGAGAGCCACATTTTGAAAGGGAGCCGCCCTCTATCCGCGAAGCTCTTGCATCTTTTAAAAGCGAATTTGCGCGACGCAAATGCGAGAGCCACATCTTGAAAACGACCCGCCTTCAATCAGTGAAGTTCTTGCGTTTTGTATTCATGGCAATAAGGCGAGAGCCACATTTTGAAGACCGGCGCTAAGGCGAGAGCCACATTTTGAAAATGAACCGCCCTCAATCCCGGAAACTCTTTGCAAATTTTGAAAACGAATTTGCGCGACGCAAAGGCGAGAGCCAGCCACATTTTGAAAACCACCCGCCCCCAATTCAATCCGTGAAGCTCTTGTGAGTTTCTAAAACGAATGTGCGCGGCGCGAAGGCGAGAGCCACATTTTGAAAGCGACCCGCCTTCCATGTGTGAAACTGTTGTCATTGTGCAAGCTTCAAAGTCATAAGTGGTGAGGATGTCTCAAGCGAAACGCCCGGCCCGCCCTAAAAGCTGGCCTCGGGGTGCGACACGGAGGAATTATCTACAAGGAGAAGGAATGGATGAGGAGGAGGAGGAGGACGAGGGGGGGGACGAGGAGGAGGAGGACGAGGAGGAGGACGAGGAGGAGGAGGGGGAGGAGGAGGAGAGGACGCGGCCGAAGGACGACAGGAGGGTGTCCAGGCACGCACAGCAGGGGGGGGGGGGAGGTGCAGTGCACGACGGGCAGGGAGTCCGCCAGCGTGGTGGTGCCGGGGCCCGGGCCCCGGGGCGGCAGGCTCTCGCACCCTCCCTGGCGAGCGAGCGCCGCGGTGCAAGCCGTGGGGCGCCAGCGGCAGTTCTGCACGAAGGAAATGGGCACGGAAAGAACGGGTACTCCAGATTTCGTAACAAAAAGGGAGGGGGTCCGGACCCTCCAAGACAAGCCACTTCAGACCTCCCCCGTGGGAGAACCCTCCAAGACATCGTCCCCAGACCCCCCAGGCCCTCCAAGATAGCCTGGAAGAGACCCCCTCCGACATGAGACCCCCCTCCCTTTAATACGAAATCTGGGGTACAGTGCCCAACAGCGGATCATGTTCGTTTTGAACAGGACTCGCTGTCCACGCCGCCGCGGCCTGTGTCCATTCGGGACAGAGGGCCGCCCGCCCAACAGCGGCCGCTGTTGGTTTGGGACAACAATTGTTGTTGGGCATTGTACCCATTCTTTCCGTACCATTCTGGGTGTCCAAAGCAGTAGGGGAACGAACATGCGCAAATATAGCCCAAAATAGTACAGAGCGCGCGCTTGAAGTGCCGAACTATCCTGCCGAGGAACTCTTGGGTTGCGTAGGGCTGGTCTTGCGGGCTCCCTGGGGCTCTCTGGGCCCGCCTAGGGCTGTTTGGGAGCGGACCTGGAGGCGCGCTGGGCCTTATTGGAGCGTCGGAAAGCCGAAAAGACAAGAAGGTCAAGATCTTCTAATTCCCAAGCAAAATTGACGATTTTGGCCTGTTGGGACCCTCTTGGGGGTGCTCCTGGAGGCGTCTTGAGCCATGTTTGAAGCCTCTTGGGAGCTACCTGGGGCCTCCTGGGGCTTTCTTGAGGCGGAAGCCCTGGGTTTTCCGGACGCGGTCCGTCTCTTGGACACCTCTCGGGCCTGTTTTGGAGCACTCGTGGGCTGCCCTGGGCGCTTCTTGGGCCAGCCTTGGGCTCTCCGGGACCGCCTCGGGGCGGCGTTGGGCGCTTCTGGAGCTGTTTGGGGGCGATCTCGGAAGCCTCCTGGGCCGCCTAGGAGCGTCGGACAGCCGCAAAGATCAGAAGGCCAACACGCTTCCAAAACTATTGTAAAGCCAACAATTTCTGGCCTGCTGGGGCCCTCGTGGGAGTGCTCTTGGAAGCGTTTGGAGCCATGTTGGAGGCCTCCCGACACCTCTACCACGTGCTTCGGCGACATGGGTCGAAGATGGGAACCATTCCTGGTGCTGAAACAGCACCAGGGTCCGTCCAGAGCCGCTCGGGAGACGCCCCGAAGCGGCTCTGGAGAGGCCCGGGGAAGGGGGGGTCCTCCCATGGCGACTCGAGGCAGCTGGCCAGAGGCCCCCAGCCTCGTACCCCGACATATGTATGTGTATATATATGTATACATATGTGTATATATACATGTCTATATATATATATATATATATATATATATATATCGCTAGAGCAATCGCGCGCGCTTCGCGCGCGCTCAAGTTCTAGCTAGGCTTGATGGGCTAACGCATGGAAAACCACCTTTGTCGTTTCTTGCATTCAGGGACTCTCTTCGAGGCCCTGCAAGCCTCGGAATCGTATATAACGGGAACAAAACACACGAATTGCCGTCAGGTATTCAACGATTTGGGGACCTCGAAGGCTTCCGGGGTTCTTGTCTGGGGCCTTCAATGTGGTGTTATGTGCAAGAATAGACAAGGGGGCGAACTTGGAACAAAAAACGGAATGGTGGGATGCCAATTGTTCTAAAGTTGTAGTGCCTGGGCTGTGGGTTAGACGTTTTCTGCATCCAGGCCACGGTCTGTCGGGATGCCTCTCGAGGTCTTCGTGCAAGAAAAAATAAGCAGGGGGTGAGTTGGAAGAAAGTAATTCTAATACTCCACTGCTTCAACTCATGGGATCATGGGATCTCGATTTCTACAATGGTTTCAGGGGCAACCAAGAGGACACGAAGACGATTCAAGAGAGTGCCAAGACAGCGTCAGGAGAGTTCAACAGCATTCCCGAAACATGTTTGCATGTGACCCCGAAGTCTTGATGGGGCTCGAGGAAGAGGATCGGGAGTAGGAGCCCTTGAAAACAACAAATCTCTGGAATTCATCCCCAACTTTCCTGTGTTGGGTTCTCTTTTTGAATAGAGCAGTGTGGTCGCCCCTTCCTTCCTTCTTCCTCCTCCCCTTCTCCTTCTCTCCTGTTTCCTGTGTTCCACCACTACAGCTCGCGGTGCCCTGGGGGGCTGCGATCTGCCAAACTGTCGGCACATTTGTGGGCTCCTGGGATGCCCATCGGAGGAGCGTCATACGCCGACCACCTTTATAGCTGGCGGTGCTCTGGGGGGCTGTTATCTGCAAAACTGTCGGCACTTTCGCGGGCTCCTGGAAGGCCCAGCGGAGGTACGTCATACGCGGGCCACCACTATAGCTCGCGGTGCCCTGGGGGGCTGCGA